TAAAACATCCCTTTTTTCATTAATTAATATTTTTAAAAAAAATTGACATAACATATTTAAGTCTATGAAATTCAAAAAATATTTCTCATGTATCCTACAAATCAAACTCATAATTAACTAGAACTTTACAAATTAGTTAACATGTATTTCACGCAAATTGTCACATAAATTGAATATATTTATTTATTTTATACACATTTAAATACTTATTTAACGACTTATGCACATCTATTTTTTTAAATGTCGATATCAATTGACACTACACCTCATTAATTAATGCTATTTATATAATTTTTAAAGACAATTAACATTTTTTTTATAATATATTTAAAGTTATAGAGATATTAAATTTAATAACATTTAATTCATATTAATAAAAATAATAATATTCTTTATCCATCAACATATTTATTATCACTAAAAATATTTTTATTATAATAATATGTTAAATTATATAAAATATTCACATTACGTCGCCTATAAACTTTAAATATTAATTCCGCTTTTAAAAAAGAAAATTTGGAAAAAGAGTCCCAATAGTTAACAACTTTTCATACTGCAAAAGAAAAAAAAAACTTAGATCTAATCCACCGTCACTCTCTCTGTCCCTCCATTTATTCTCTGCAGAAAAACACACACACACAGTCTCTCTCACGCTCTCTCATCATATTCATTCCCTTTTTGTAGTATTTTTCTCCACATTTACATCTCCAGGAACTCATTATTGGGTTTCCCTCTCATTATTCCTAATTCAGATCTGTAAGTTTTCTGCTTTTCTTTGATCTGATTCAATTTTTTGCTTACTCATTAATGTTTTTTGTATTGTGTTGTATGCTATTGTATCTTATACCCAATTTAGATAAATGAGCAATGAGTAAGGCAAGGCAACTTAAGTATACTTCAAAGGGGGTCTTTTTTTTGTGGTAAATATCTGATTGATCTCTGTTTTTTTTGTGAATGGTGGGTTTTTTAATATGTGATTCCAGATCTGTGTTTGTTTGTTTCATGTTTAGTGAATTATATATGTACCCTTTTCATGTTTTTACAAAAAAAGAGTGTTTTTAGGCCTTGACATTATGTTATTAAGCTTGAGTATAGTTGGTCTTATCATAACAGCCGAGACGGAGTCAAGATTTGAACTTTATGAGTTGTAAATTGTAGGATAGTGATATATGTTGTATGAACTCCCAAAAAGTGCACTACTTTTGGAGTATCTGACACAGTTGCTTGGACACACACATGTTGATAGTTTTGAAGAGTTTGAGCAATATAGCTGAAATCAGGTGCTTATGATTGGGTTGTGAATTTAAGTTTTGTGCATATTTAGTGAGTTTCTTAATAGAAGTTCAAGGTTTGATTAAAACTAGATTCGGGTTCTAGTTATTCCCCTGCATCACACTATACATGTCTTGATGGACTTTTGCTTTTATCTTTTAGTACACTTTTCTTTTCACAGATCATTTAATAGGGAGAATGTGATTAATTGTTCACATTAGGTAGGTTTTGTGGTGTTTGTTAACATTTCCTTTCACTAATGATCTGCTCTTGGTTCACAAAATAGCTTATGGTTATAGTCTTATAGACTGGCTGAGCTAGAAGTTTATATAAGGGGATTTAAAAAAAAAACTAGAATGTTACATTTGGGATTTTACGTGTGACCAAAAGCAAGTTTTTAACCCCTCTGCCAATGCACGGATTCAGCAGTTTATATACAACCCGAAAATCTCGTTTTCTATTTGCATATTATAATTTTATGTTGAAGGGGATTCAATTGAACCCCTTGTTTATACATAGCTGTATCCCAGGTTACAGACATGTGTATTCGAAAACTGAGTGATTCACACTCTAAACAGATTTGGAATAGCTGTGTGGCAAATGGAACTTTTTTTTCTTTCTTTTTCTGGGCTACACTACTTGATTAGTTTCTTATGGATAATGTATTTAATTTCACAGATTGCTTCCTCAACATTGCAGATCAACTTTTCTCAAGAGTCTAATTGTTTAATCTCCTTAGTCAAGATACTTGATTTTAATTGGTGCCTTATCTAGACAATTATGATTTCAAAGAGCTGAAGTAGAAAAGAGAAAGTTAAGTTTTTCCACGGACACAAAAAAAACCCAAATGATGCGAGGGAGATCAGACGGAGCGCAAAAGAAGCGCTTGTGGACTTTTGTAGGTATTGGGACTGTCTTGGTTGTTTTCCTTTACATGTATTTTGGATCCAAGAGCGGTGGTGAGTCTGCTCTTGAGTATGGCAGCCGTTCTTTGAGGAAATTGGGATCGTCTTATTTGGGTGGGGATGATAACTCTGATCTCAGCAGCAGGCAAGAGGAGAAGTTTGGACTGGAAGATGGTGATGGTGGCATCGTCCCTAAGAGTTTTCCAGTAAGTCAGTCTTTTTCCATTTCACAGCCCAATGTTATGTCACAAGGCTCTCCTCCAACCGCCAAGAGTGGTTAATTGGAAGAAAGGATGAGTTGCTGCATTTTGGTTGTTTCCTTTGTTTACCTTCTTAATTTTGTACTGGTCTTTCATTTGAAGGTTTGTGATGATCGACATTCAGAATTAATTCCGTGTCTGGACAGACATCTCATTTATCAAATGAGATTAAAGTTGGATTTGTCACTGATGGAGCACTATGAAAGACATTGCCCCTTGCCAGAAAGACGTTATAATTGTCTGATTCCTCCTCCTCCTGGATACAAGGTGAATAGGCTGAAGCTATAGTGAAGTTGTTACCCTGGACATATTTCCAAATTTACTTCTAGTTTTTTTCTGACACTTGTATCATTTGCTCATTTATATGCTGTTATAGGTGCCAATTAAGTGGCCAAGAAGTAGAGATGAGGTCTGGAAATTGAACATTCCTCATACGCACCTTGCAAATGAGAAATCTGACCAGAACTGGATGGTTGTGAAGGGTGAAAAGATAGTATTTCCTGGTGGAGGCACTCACTTTCACTATGGAGCAGATAAGTACATTGCGCTAATTGCCAACGTAAGGACTTCTTTTTCTTTCTCAGATATTGCAGAAATTTTAAAAAAGGGAACCTAGTAATATATGAAATGTTAAACTTTATCATACATGTAATTGTGATTGCAGATGCTGAACTTTACAAACAATAACTTGAACGATGAGGGAAGGATACGGACAGTTTTTGATGTTGGTTGCGGTGTGGCTAGCTTTGGTGGTTATCTTCTATCCTCTGATATTATAGCAATGTCATTGGCACCAAATGATGTGCATCAGAATCAAATACAGTTTGCTTTAGAGAGAGGAATTCCTGCATACCTTGGTGTCCTTGGAACGAAAAGACTGCCTTATCCAAGCAGGTCATTTGAATTTTCTCACTGTTCTCGTTGTAGGATTGATTGGCTTCAAAGGGATGGAATCCTTCTCCTTGAGCTCGATAGGGTACTTAGGCCTGGAGGCTATTTTGCATACTCATCCCCTGAAGCATATGCACAGGATGAAGAGGATTTAAGAATATGGAGAGAGATGAGTACACTTGTTGAACGCATGTGCTGGAGAATTGCAGCGAAAAAGAACCAAACTGTCATTTGGCAAAAACCTCTAAACAATGATTGTTACATGGAAAGACCTCCTGGTACGCAGCCACCACTCTGTCGATCTGATAATGATCCAGATGCTGTCTGGGGTGTGAATATGGAGGCATGCATAACACCTTATTCTGAACGTAAGTGCTTGCCTCTTCTGTCTTGTCAAATAGATGCATTTTTGTTGAGTTAAGGTTATAAGAAACTTGTAAGTTGCTTACTGTTAGTTTTCCTCAAAACCTTACTTCCTTATTGTCACCATTCTCTCAGATGACCACAAAGTCAGTGGAAGTGGACTGGCTCCTTGGCCAGCTCGATTAAGTAGTCCTCCTCCCCGTCTTGCTGACTTTGGGTATTCGAATGAAATGTTTGAAAAGGACACGGTAATTTGTTTTAGTAATATTGGTTAACTTGTGCCATTTGGTTCAACACACGAGCTTAAGTGCTCCATTACAAACTTGATGACTCCTTACTTTCTCGGTTTATCAACAGGACACTTGGAGGGAGAGGGTTGACCATTATTGGAGTCTGTTAAGTTCTAAGATTTCATCAGACACCTTGAGAAATATCATGGACATGAAGGCTAACTTGGGGTCATTTGCTGCTTCTCTGAAGGACAAAAACGTATGGGTCATGAACGTTGTACCCAAAGATGGACCCAACACTCTCAAGATTGTATACGACCGAGGCTTGATTGGCACAACACATGACTGGTAGGTGGATAATCTTTTTCACTTTGTATAACCATGTTAGTCTGCTAGTTTTACTTTGTGGCCTAAATCTTTCGCCTTTAGGACATTGAACTGAGCATATTTATGAACATCTTAGTTTTTCTAGCCATTATGAAACTAATGTAGCTGTGCGTTGTTATTCAAGACTTTTAATGGTTGAGGAGCTCGGATATAGTTATCGGTCTTATATTTTCCCCAGTAGATGTTGATCATAGCCAAGGTGAACGTTCATTTGTAACATTAGTTGCACTTGCGTGCTTTTGTGCAGGTGTGAAGCATTCTCAACCTATCCCAGGACCTATGATTTGCTCCACGCTTGGACAGTCTTCTCTGATGCTGAGAAGAAAGGTTGCAGTGGTGAGGACTTGTTACTCGAGATTGATCGCATACTAAGGCCTACAGGTTTCGTTATCATCCGTGATAAACAACATATTATCGAATTCATAAAGAAGCATTTATCAGCATTGCACTGGGAAGCAGTTGCATCAACTGATTCCACCTCGGATCCCGAGCAGGACAACGATGAGGTTGTTTTCGTCGTGCAAAAGAAACTGTGGCTCACAAGTGGAAGCATCAGAGATACAGAATAGATAGCAGAGTTTGTAACACATTTTGCTAATTCATTTTCTCTCTAGGCCTTTAGGGTGTTGAAGAAAAAAAAAATGTATGCCCTTAATTTTCAGTTTGAATTTGTATTTGCGTGTTATTTATTTTCTTTTTTTACTCCCAACGCATTTTTATGTAAGTTTACAAACTGAGAGACTACATAATGTATTCATAGGCTATTTTTTTTTTATAATTAACGTATTTTAATATTTGATCATTTTGAGTTGCAAATTCTTGTGGAAGGTATAAATGATTACTTCTGTTCTTTCTCATTAGTTATTTTTATTTTATTTTTTATTTTTTTTCTCATTTATTTTTTAAATGAGAAATAAAACAGATAACTACATTTTCTCTAATATATTTCTTTTATAAAAATTGGGTTTTAAAATTATTTTATTACACTTCTGTGACTTGAATTTAGGGATCAGTTTCTGGCCCTAGGAGGACTAAACGAATATCATGTAACACATCACAAATAGTGTATGTTTATCTTTTTGATTAGTAAATTCATTAAATTGATATCATTTAATGTAAACATTAGTTTTTGTTTTTATTTATTACGGGAATGCTTATGTAACACCAACCAAATTAATAATAAGATCACATCATAATTAAATGTCCATTATGAATCATCACAATCTCGAAATTATTGTAAAAGTCATAAATTTGGTCATGACAAGTGATTAATGATTTGCAAGATTCATTGCTTTGAGTATACAAATCACTGGACAAAGATATTGTTACTAAATATTGCTACTAAAATGAGATATCGTGGCGATTTATTTTTCAATTTTTACTTGATTATTTCAAGGAGATATATAATTAATACAATTTTTTTTAAGCGTGTCAAAATCTTGAATGAAAGATTCCAAACATGTACTATAAAAATGAACAATACAAAAACAACGCAGCGATAGCAAACATTAGAGAACAGAAAAGGCAATAATACTTCTGAGTGTGACTATGAAACCCCCTCTTTCCAAATCCCAAAATTTCATCAACTTTCTACCAGTTATTTATCTATTGCTACTACTACAATCATCAAGTATTGTAAAATCAGAAATTTGGTCATGGCAAGTGATTAATGATTTGAAAGATCCATTAATATTAGTGTGCAATTCACAAGACAAAGATGTTCCACAAACAACACTACGACCAAATTCTCATTTAAGATGGAATGTTGATATTAATATTAAACCAACATTAGCAAGTTGTGACATGCACACTTCTGATTTCAGCAAAAAAGGCTTTTTCTATGTCTTTGATTATGACAATTATAATGCTGTGTGTAACAAAGGGCATTTGTGTAGTTGGCATGCTAGGACAGATGGATTGTATCTCTTTTCCGAGGGAATACTTGATTTCTATTTTAGTTGGAGCTAGATTTTATTTTATTTTTAGGAAATTCATAACCTCTGTTACAGTTTCTGTTTTTCGGGTGAGCACTCTGTGGTGAGTACTTTGTGGTAGCCTGAGTATTGTTCATTGTAATGGTTGGAATTCAAGTTAATTTATGCTTTTATGTTTATGAGTTTTTGTTTTTTCCAAATTATGTGTTTGAAGAACTAGATTTTGAATTTAAATATGAAAATTGAGTTGATATTTTAAAAACTTGAAAATACTCATTTGTTACATTACTTTTGGAACAGCCTAAAAAAGAAAGTGTTGTAAACTAGAACAAAAGCAGTACTAGTTGTCATTCAAGGGTGTAGCCGACTGGTCAATGGGTTAACCATCATGAGGTCTCAAGTTCAAATCGAGACAAAACATTATAAGATTTTTTTTATCCATATGTTATAGCCTTTGCATCTAGAATTACCTAGTACCTATTGATGGTCGGAGGTGGCAGTTATCTCGTGACTTAGCCGAAGTGCTTGCGACTTGGCTCGGACACCATAGTTGTTAAAGAGAGAGTACTGGAAGGGTCGAGGTGGGAGTTATCTCGTGGATATAGCCTAGGTGCTTGCAACTTGGCCCAGACACCACAGTTGTAAAAGAGAGAGTATTGGAAGGGTCGAGGTGAGAGTTATCTCGTGAATTTAGCCGAGGTGCGTGCAACTTGGCCCAAACACCATAGTTATAAAGAAAAAGAGTATTGGAAGGATCGTGTATATGCAGACCTTACCTCAACCTTGTGAAGGTAGAAAGACCGCTTCCGAAAGATCTTCGGCTCAGCTAAAATATATCAAAACATGTTTGGAGAGGTAATACAACAATGAAGAAACAAAGAAAAAAGGGAAATGAAGAATATCGATAACAAATAATGAATAAAAATATGATAACCGAAGCAAAGAAAACAAGAGATGAGACTAACAAAATACCATTGCATTGGTTTTCAATTTCAAGATCATCTAAAGATGTAAAACAAAACAACTTCAAACCCTTCCAAATATCAACATATTGTAACCAAACCAAAAAAATGCAGCAAAAACAGACACTTTCTGTCTTTATATACTACATAACTAAGTTGTCTAAACAATCAGCAAAGGATTCCCAACTCTGTTTTCTTTGTAATTCCATACTTACCAAGACAACATAAGTCACTCAAAAGCTTGCCGCGTAGATATAGTTCCTTCACATTTACTTTTAAGTCGTACTTGATCAACGTCTTCAAATGAGCAACGGATGTAAATCTAGAAACCACACCTTTAATCTTACGTAAACTTGTCTGGTGGTGACACCTCATGTTAGATACCGGTTGGCTACTCGTAAAATAAGGTTCATATCTTTCATAGATGTTAGCAGGAGGGGGAAGTCGTATATCAAACATGATATTCGATTCCTTTTTAACATTGTAGCTAGCTAAATCACGGTGATCAAATAGACATTTTCCCCCATAGAAAAGTTTTTGCAGATGAACCGGTATTTTTAGCTTCTTTAGAATCATGAGCTTCACATTCCTGATCAACTCGTGCCTGTGCACGTCTAGTGTAGTACTTCCATCACCCGTATTGATAAAGATCTGTATAGTTCTATACTTTACCTGTATGATGGACTCTTCGTTGATATCACACTGATATAATGTCTTTGAATCTTCCAATTTCTGGTTTCCAGAAAACAGATACATAGAATTTTTTGGCCAGCGAACTTTGCTCTCTAAACTTCTTTTAACTTCGCGAACAGTTAAGGCAGCCTTGACTTCTATCTTTACAATTTTCTCCCATGGCATTACTATGGAAATAAGAAACTTGTCTCTTGGATACAAAACCATATGAAGCATTGATCCACTATCGATTTTGTAAAAAGCAAAAGTTTTGTCATCATCAAGAAACTTTCCGTCATGAATAAGAGAGAATTCTGTAGATTCTACTCCTTCACTGGCCTCAATCCTATATTTGACATCCTGGATAGTATCGCAAATCCTTGAACAAACCGTAATTGCATCAATAGCATAAGGTCTCTTCACAAAAAATATCCTCGAGATTGAATTGTCGACAGAAGCATGAAGAAAGGAGTTTGTGGTAATGCCATAATCGACTAGTTTTAGTTCGTCTGCTAGCTCAACCCCTTTTGAAAATAGATGCTGAAGACATTCAGGTATGCCCTCGTTATCATGTAATAATGATTTGATGTTTCCGATACTATCTGATTCCTTAACTCTTAAAGCAACTGTTTTATTGATCTTCAAGTATATAGTCATCTGCAAGAAGATAAACAAAAGCAAAATGTATATATGTATTGCTGCAAATATCAGTACTTCACATGTGTGAACTTAACAATCATAACACCAGCAAACGAAAACACTCTTAAGCACAGATGAAAAGGTCGAAAAATACAAAAAATTTTAGGTAAAAATCATGTCATCAACGATCCAATTGTAACTTCCGTAAGAAAGTTCAAAATTCTATGCCACTCAACTGTACAACATCTATCGTGCATAGGCCCCTTGTTTCCGTACCTAATGAAAGAGTACTCCAAGGCCTGCCTCTCTAGTAAACGATTCATTACTGAAATGAAGGAAAGGCTAGATCAATCAAAGGGGATACTATGAGCCCTCTACCCCACACATGTAACCAATTACCATGGTTCACTAGTTCCACTGACTAGCTCTGTTGCTCGGACTCTTCAAAAATGTCAATAGGTGCATGTCAGATTCTCCAAAAGTAGTATATTTCTGGAGAATCATGGCATCAAAAGTGAAGAATCTGCACAACTTATCCGACTAGACCAAAAGAGTGATTCAGTCAATACATGAGTGTGCCTGAAGTGGGGTGTGTTATGTCCTGTTTGATTGGGCCCAACCGTCAGGGCATAAGCGCCCTCTTGCTACCCTTCGTGAGCGTTAAGGCGTTGTCTCGGCCTTCCCTAACCAAGATCACTCCTAAATCAATGTGATCTAACTTAATAAAGATGAGATTCAAGAATCAACATATAGTGATTAATTAACAATTTTTTTTACATATATTTAGCTGTATTTGTGTTTAAATTATTGTGATCGATTCAATGAAATCTGTTGAACTCATTGACAATGTGTTATATCACATTTATATCTTAGATCCATTTCATCCTGATCGTACACTCATCCTCACTAAATCCTGAATCCGTCTTTGAGAGCTCAAAATGTTAAAATTGTGGCAAATAAGATCTCACACCCTACCCTACCCTACCACCCCACCCCCACATTCATGCCTACCACTACCAAAAACACAAATTTAACACTAGAAAAATTGAACAACAAACAAAAAAAATATTTATAAATTCATAATTGTTACCTCCTTTTCTTCTTCATTAATTCTCATGTTTCTCATGCTTTGCTCCATTGAAACTTCCCAATGCCTTGAATACTCCCTTGAGTTATTATTAGTGTTTTTATAGAGTGTACTCCAACTTTTTGGGGTGGAATAAGTCTAACAAGATTAGCCAATGAAAATAGAATCAGTCCATCATATTTACTTAAAATTAGCCTATGAAAATATAATTAGTCCAAACCATTTAGATTTAAACGTAACAGGTCATTGACACTTATGCCCGTCATAAGAAAAAACTCAAATAAATGTAAGTGGGACGAAAATATATATATTTATGTATTATAAAATTCCCAAGTTATGCCCCTCGCACAACTTCAGTTTCTAATCGTCAATTTAGTTATTGTCGATTTGATTTAATTATTTTGATTTTTTCAATTTGAAAGTAATAAATTTTTTGAGGACATAACTTGTAAGTTAAATTTTTTAATGTTGCTTTGAAGGATTTTTTGGTGAGTTTTGATCCAGTTTTTATGGTTATTTTAATGCAATTTTTATCCTTCTATGCTTATTTAATTGTAGTTCAATTATAATTTTTTAGCAATCAAATCCTATACATGCTGTAGATATCATGTTTTTGCATATTTTTGGACAATAGAATATTCTTTTACCAATATTATTAGAGTAAAACATTGCAAATGCTTATAACAAAAGTTCTATGAAAAAATATGTATAGAAGTTAAATAAGGTGGAGTGTATGTTCAGATACAAACAACTTTTTCTTCGAAAGAATACAATGCGTATTGTCTTTAATACAACAAGCGAAACAAACAATAAGAAATAATCTCAGGATAAGTAATCCAGGATAAATAGTCTGAGCACAACTAATCCCATCATAACTTGTCTTTCAAACCAAACGATCCGTTAGTGTAGTGATAATCATGGGATTCTCCTTTGATGCAGCTTCCCATTTCAACTCTGAATTCGGGTTGAAGTTCTCCTTTGAATCATTTACTTTCTCAGTAGAGAAATTATGATTTTTTGTTATAGGTGAATTCTCTACAATTTCTTTAACTGGAGGTGATTTTGATTCAGTGTCTTTAACTCTCTTTTCTGCAGGCACTGAGGGGGTAGTAATACATTGCTGAGAGAGTTCTCTAGAATTTCCGCAGAGTTTGAATATATTTTGAATTAGCTCTTTTCTGGAAGGGGCTGTGTTGTCACTAGAGAGATCATCGGAACGATCTTCTACTCTACTTACATTGTCGGAACATATTGTCTTTTCCTCAATGACCTCTTTTTGCACCTCCTCGACGTAAGGATTCTCTTTATCCCCTTCACTGTCGTTACCTTCTTCTTCCTCTTCGAACACGGTGCTCAAGAATGATTTGTTGGTGAAATGTTGCAATAAGATAGAAGGATCTTCAATTTCTCTTGCATTGGTTATGCTAGGATAGCCCAACATTGCCTGAATTATGTTACTTTCTGCTTTCTTTCCACAGTCCATATCAATTGATCTATCCAAATCCATAGATTTCACCATTCCCGCGTCTTCAGAATACATCTCCAGTAGTCTTTTCCCAAAGCTGTTCTCCTCCACTTCAGTTGATCTGCTGCCAACTCTTGAATGCCAAAGCTCGGACTCAATCTCCTCCAACCGTCTTCTAAGCATTTCAAACTCTTGTTGCTGTTGGAACATTCTTTCTTCCATTTTCCTCCTTTCTGTCTCTACGAATTCATTTGCTGTTTCCTGACATTGTTGGATCTTATTTTCAAATTCATGTTTCAACATCTGAGTTCGCTCGTTCACTTTAACAATGATATCCTCCTCGGTTGTCTCCACCCCTCCTTGTGCTACTACTACTTCAAGTTTAGACCTTAATGTAGCAATTTCTTCTTCTTTCTTCATAAGCTTTCTCTTAGCTTCATTACACTCTTTCTCCTTAAGCTTGTTTTCCATCTGAAGCTTGTAGATAAACTGATCCATAGCTGCAATTCTCGATCCCAAAATAACCGCTGATGAAGAATCTTCTGCACCTTTCTCCTTCAACGGCGTATGAGGGCCACGGACAATGCATTTTGCTTTAGCACCATACTCTAGAGTAGAGATAGTTTTGTGGAGCTCTTTAGGATCCGGGCTGGCACACAGTATCATGAGAATTTTGGACTTGTCATCCTCAAAGGAATCCTACATGAAATAACAATTTCTTACAACAATTAGTACAACTCTCAAACCATCTATGGCTATGTTGCTCGGGGGTCCTTTAAAGATGGTGTCAGAGTGTGCACAAGACATACCTGTAAGAGCATAGTTAACTTGCTGTCTCGGAAAGGCACGTGGGAATCACCGTTAGCAATGGACTCAACCACCCTTTTCAGTGCACTGTTTCCCTGATTGATCTTTGCAGTCTGCATAATTTGATTTGTCAGATACTAAAAGTAGATAAATGCATCAGCAGGTATTCATTTATCTTGAGTTACTGTTCGTAGGAAATCCGATAGCAAACTTCAATGAAGCGAGGTAAGTAAAACTTGAAACTTTACCTGCATTTTTGCTTCCATACCAGTTTGACCAGCTTGTTCTATATTCTCAGAACCAGCCATGTCGACAAGCATTAACCGCCCTCCAACCGTTGGAACATCAATAATCATCTGCAACAACATTTAGCTTCCTTTATAAAAGATGAAAACAGATATCCTTGCTGAAAACAGAAAATAAATGAACTGCTTTCCATTTAAACTTTGTTTAACGTATATTCAGAATTGATACCATGCAGTGGCTCCGAGAGCTCCGCTCATTGCACAAAGTGCTTTTCACTGTTCTTCTCTTCTCCACTTTCTGGATCTCCTTTGATATCTTTGTAGCCTCAGTACCGGAAATAAAAGTTGCATTTTTTGCCTTTTTACCGACAACTTCAAGCCTCACCTGCAAAGGTAAAACACAGGGCCAGCATTATACAGAGAAATACCTAGTAAGTAGAACTAGCTTTCGTATTTTCGAATTTGACATTCTAAGCCTACGCCATTCTCCTAATTAAGCATATCCTAATTTCTGATTTGTGTAGTTGTGTTATGCATACAGATCAATAATGACAAGATCAATAATGCTATGGCAAAAAAGAATCAGGCGAAGTATGATAAATCATTAGCATTCAGTACTTAATGACAACATCGTCGATTGAAAGCCAAGTATTGGTATGTGTATAACACATACTGAGGTTAAAATGCAACGTCAATTTATCTGAGGAGATATACATCATAAGTGAAAAAATGTTGCGAAAATATAAAAAGAATCAATACGAGTATAGATACCAAATGATAATCACTATTAACAGAGAAAACATTGATTTAGGCTGCTCATTTTCCAAGTATACCAGCCAAGTAGTCCGTCTATCCCGCCAATTGAGAGAAACTAGAGCATTTTCAAAAATGTGCTCAATACAATAGCAACAACAACAACAATGCCTCAATACTCGCTCACCATGTTCTCCCGTTAAAGATCGACTCATGTCTAAACATGCTCTCTATGTATAGTAGATACCAAGAAGTCTATTCCATCAATTGAGAGAAACTAGAGCATTTTCATAAACGTGCTGAATACAATAACAACTATGTTTCTATCCCACACAAGTCGGCAGCTATATGAACCTCACCAACCATGTTTCCCCATTTAAGCTCAACTCATGTCTAAACGAGCTCAATATGGATAAGCACCAAGTTTACCAAGTAGTTATCATCAATTAAGAGAAATTAGAGCCTTTTCTTAAACATGCTAAATACTACTACTACTACTACAACAACAACAATTGCTAGAAGTGTAAAATAAACTACATTTCGAAAGATCAATGCATCAATCAGACAAAAAAGTGTAAAAAATCAATTTTTTTTACCTTAGAAGAACTCCCTTTAGACCATCCAAAACCAAACCCTCCACCATTATTTGTTGACAACAAATCATATAATTCCTCATTATATATCTCCAAAACAGTAACTTGCACAAATGTTCCAACACTAATTTTCTCATTATTCTCATCAGTTTCTTCAATCCCATCACCTAATATATCCCTTAAGGATCTATACACAATCCCAGGCTGCTTAGAACTCCCAAACATGTTATAACTTTTTCCAGCCCCCGTCGGTCCATACATCATAACAGTACATTTATCTCCCAATTTCACTCCATTAATCCTCGACTGCACAAACTTCTTGTAAAACTCATCAATATCCTCCTCTTCAGACAATGACACACCATCAAAGCTAAAATCCCTATATCCTCCATCAGTTTTCACTCTTAACGTCTCGCGATCAGGATTCACCTGTAACAACGATAAAGGCTTCTCCTTCCTATCCGGGTAATCACGAATTCTTCCTATAACTTCAATAGGATGCTCTGCTGCTGCTGCAACAGGGGCTACAGAATTTGGTTTTGCTGTGGTGAAATTCAATCTATGTTTTGCTTGTGGGGTTCTTGAATTGGGTATGTGGGTAAGATTTAACTTCGAAAATGGAGTTGGGGTTCTCTGGTTTTTCGGTGTCGGTGCCATTGGAGACCAAAACAGCTTAAATTCAAGAAACCCCACAAATCAAGATTCAATCTTTTTGCTCTTCTAAGAACTGGAAACAGTTAATTTTTGCAGAAAATTTCAAGATTGAGGATTGGGCATTGAGAATTTGTCTGAGCTAAGAAAATGGAAAAAGGGGAAAGTGAAAGAACACAAAAAGTTCGTACCTTTTTTTTATGTTTTTGAAGTGTTTAACGTTAGATTTGGTAACGGCTAGTTCATGATTTTTGTGAAAACTCCTTGTGATGTTAATAGGTGTAAAGCGTCGATCTATTAAAGTGGACCAAAGGCTGATGTTAATTTAAGCGTGAACTTCACGTAAATTATTTATTTTATCTTTAAATTAATTAATTGAACTTATATATACATATCAATTTTTCTAATGACATAGTAAGTGGTTTCAAATTTTTATATGAGTATTAGACTCCTAACAAAAACTCCATATAAGTGTTAACAATATCACTAAAAATATGCATGAATAATTAAAAAGACATAATAATTCGAATATCTTATAAAAATTACATATATATTTAAACCGCAAAATGTAATAAAACTCAAATAGCTTATAATACAAAGTATATATATATATTGACAAAGTAGTTATCTCTCTCGAGTAATTTAGATAAAGATCAAAAGCATTATACAATATTCTCAAGATACTCATTTACAAACCTTTTTTATATTCAAGAAGGCTTTACTTTACAAATCCTTTAAAAAGAAAAAAAAAGAACACTTTCATAGCATATATACTTTAG